GCGAGTGGGTAAAATTCACTGTTTGACGTGGTTTAGTGGGGTGAAGAGTAGCCGGCCCAGCCCCTTCCGAGTGGACCAACTCCATTGTCATTTTTAAATGAACTCTTTAGACTATGTGTGTGCATATGTATCATTTTTAAAAGGATTTAAAGTGTCAAGAATGCGGCTAGGGACTATCATCATTACAATGGTCACTGCTGTGGGACCTCAAACAGGTCTTCTTGGACCTTGGTTAGCTCCTTAGAGGCAATAACGGAGTGAGTTAGGATAATGAGTTGCCATCAAGTTGATTCTGACTCACAGTGACCACTTGAGTGTCAGGGTGGAACTGTGCTCCATAGGGTTTTTAATGGCTGATTTTTCATAAATAGATAACCAGGCCTTTCTTCTGAGATGCCTCTGGGTGGATGTGAATTTCCAACCATTGAATGAGCTCACCGTTTGTACCACCCAGGGACTCCACATTTAGGATGCTGGGGATTTATTTAATCGTAGCTCTGTCCCCAACAGGTCGTGTGACCTTTGGGAAGTCCCTTCCTCTTTCTGGGCTACTCCTGAATTTCCCTATCTGTACAAGGGAGGAATCGAACCAGCTTTTCATTTGCTCGTGTATTTGTTTATTTGTTGGTACAGGGAGCTCCTATCCTATCCAGCACCAGCCACATAATCTCCAGGGCCCAGTGCAAGATGAAAATGCAGAACCCCTCATTCAAAAAATAAGAATTTAAAGATGACAAGAGCAGACCACTAAACCAAGCGTGGGCCCTTCTGAGCGAGGGGCCCTGTGTGCTTGGCCAGCTCACAGCCCAGGAGACCGGCCCTGCAACTACTTCAAATAAAATGTTCTGGGAAGCCATAAGGGCTGCTTTTTGTTGGAGCTCTCTCTGCTTTCCTTGGCAGGCCCCGTGGCATTTCTGAGGAACGTCAGGCTCCGGGGAGCATAGCTGGAAAAACACATGTTCTCACTCACTGCCATCGAGTGGACTCCGACTCACAGCGACCCCCATTGGCTTTCCAAGGTTGTAAATCTTTACGGAAGCAGACTACCTCATCTTTCTTCCATGGAGCGGCTGGTGGTTTCAAACCACCCACCTTTTGGTTAGCAGCCAAATGCCTTAACCATTACACTACCAAGCTCCTTAAGCACAGGTTGGATAGTCCCTAAAAAGCCTTTATTGAGGCCTTGGTGGTTCAGGAGTAGAATTCTCACCTTCCATGCCAGAGAAACGTCATGCGTAGCCACTACCTATCTGTTAGTGGAGGTGTGTATGGTGCTATGCTGCTAAACAGGCTTCAATGGAGCTTCCAGACTAAGAGGGACTAGGAAGGAAGGCCTGGTGATCTACTTCCAAAAAGCAGCCAGTGAAACCCTTTGGAGAGCAAGGGTCCAACCCACATCTGACCACAGGGACGGCATGGGACCAGGCAGTGTTTCATGCTGTTGTGCATGGGGTCACCATGAGGTGGGCTGACTCAATGGCACTGACAACAACCAAAAGCCTCTCTAGTTTTGATTATTTATACAGAATATTTGGGTCCCAAATCCCTTCCTTACCTCCTCCAGAGATGAGGCAAATGGTAGACTAGTGCTTGGTGAATAAGCATTATCATCTCCTGTCTGTGTGGCTTCCTGGCTTACGGAGGGCTGTCACATCCGGGTCTAGTGAGCCTCTTACCGCAATCTCAAGAGAAATGTGGTACAAGGACTTTTCGGAAGGGGTAACTGGAGACCAGAGAGGTCAAGTGACTTGCCCAGGACCACACAGCTGGCAGAGCTGGCACTAGAACCCCAGAATTCTAATTCCTAGGAAAAGGGGCTCTTCCACAGGGCCCTCTCCACAGCAGCAATCAGTAGGTGAGGAGAATTTTGGTAAACCCCATCTGCCAGCATAAAATGAAGGACAACGGGGCATGTATTTATATTCATTTCCTAACGATGTGTGGAGTCTTGCTATGTGTGCCTCCTCTCCTTGCATGATCCACAGTCTGGCCATCAGGGTCCCAAGGAAGGGAGGAAGTGGGGGTGGCTGTGGCCCCTTCTGCAGCTATGCTTGGGGGAGGGTCTCAATCCCAAGATGGCAGACTGGAAGGGGCAGTTAAATTACGGGGATGAGATGAGGCAGAGCTCGGGTTCTTGTGCTGAAGAGAGGAAAGGCTAGCATGTGAGCTGCCCCGGGCTGAAAGGCCTGGACAGGCACCCAGTGCCCTCTTCCACCCATGGCCTCCCAGAACCCCAGGAGCAAGTGTAAGGGTGCCAAGGTGAAGGTATGGGCTGGCAGACCCTGGGGAGGCAGTATGGTACAGGGAATACGAGTTGGAGCTGAGTCCTAACCCTGCTTCTCACCAGCTGTGTGATCCTGGTGGACTCTCACCTTCCTCATCCTCAATGCTGTGGTACAGTGGTTAAACTCTCAGTTGTTGACTGAAACGTTGGTGGTTTGAACCCACCAGCTGCTCTGCATGAGAAAGAGGTGGCAGTCTTGAAAGATTACAGCCTTGGAAACCCTATGGGACAGTTCTACTCTGTCCTACAGGGTCACAATGAGTTGGAATTGTCTCTATGGAAATATTTTTTTTTTTTTTAGGTTTTCTGGAATCTTTACAGAAGCAGATAACCAAACCAGGTCCTTCTGCGGAGCCACAGGATGACTTCAAACCACCCACCTTTTGGTTAGCATCCAAGCACTTAACCATCGCACTATCTAGGCTGCTCTCTGTAAAATGGTGAGAGCCATATTACTTGACCTTCTCTGACAGAGTGGGTTCTGGAGTCATCTAACTTGTTGGAATCTTGTTTCTTTCATTTCCTTGATCAGTGATCTTGAATGACTTGGTTCATTTCTGTGAAGCCTCACTCATTCAGTTCCCTTACCTGTAAAATTGGAATGCTAAAAGCAACTTCTCAAAAAACAAAAAAACAAAAAACAACGTAATTCCTCATAGTGTATGTGTGGATCAAATGAGAAAATGCATGTAAAACTTTCAGCACAGTGCCAGGTCCATACCGAACACTTAGTACATGGTAGTGATGATGATGGTAGTGACTTTAGTTTTATTATTAGCTATTTTTATGGATAAGCAGATGAGAGACTCCACAAACAGACCCACTATTGGGAACTACTGGCCTCAGGGAAGGGGCTAGGGCTAGGGCTTTTCCACACAAGCACTGGTAGTGGTAACTGGTGAAAGTCACCCTCACACCCAGCAAGCTAGGCCTGGGGGTCTTTGGGGTGGATTCCTCAGCCTGGTGACTCTGAGTGCCCTGCCCCCATAGTCTTGGTTCTCTCCTCCCCTGCCATCTCAGCCCTGACCCTGGCTGTGCTCCCCTGAGCAAAGGTTCTGGCTTCAACTTTTCTGGACTTCACTTGACAAGTCCACCCATCATGGGGCTCCCCTTTGTCCCCTCCCTCCCCTCTTCCACAGCCACCACACCTTTAGTACAGGCTAGAGGTAGTTGGCTGGGCATGTGTGTGAGTGCGTGTGCTCACACACATACACACACACATGCTCACACGCACATTCTCAAGCCCATGTGCTCCACAAGTGAGCTTCCGGGACCCTCACATCCCCGCCCCCACCTTCCCCACCACAAAAACCACAGTAACAGGCAACACAGCAGACACAATGCAAAACCCTGAGGCAGGCGCCTTTTAAGCATCTAGCAGGATGTAAGCCCAGGTGGCTAACAGCCGCCCCCCTGGAGTAAACTCTTCTCCCCCTATCAGCAAAAGGGGCGGGTGTGGGAAAGGCAATGGATTACACCTGGTGCTGAAGAGAAAAATTGCTGCTGGTGGGCCCACTGTGGCCCTACCATCTCCCAAGCCAACGTTGTGTGTCCGTAGCCAAGTCTCACCCTCTATCTAGAGCTCAGTTTTCCTGTCTGTAAAATGGGGAAACCAGGCAAGATGAATGGCTATCCAAGGATGCAGGGAGGACTTAATAGCATTGTCACTGTGGCTGTGCTCTGGGAAGTTAAAAAACCTAAAACAAAACAAACCCGTGTCCCTGGAGGCGATTCCAGCTCCTGGTGACCCCATGTATTACAGAGTTGAACTGCTTCAGAGAGATTTCTTGGCTGGAATCTTACAGAAGCAGACTGTCAGGCCTCTTTTTTTCTTGGTGCTGCTGAGTTAACAGTCTAAACCACTTGCATTACTCAGGCCAGGGAAGTCTGGGACGGTGACTGAGTGGGGCTGTTACAGATATTCCTCAATCTCTGGTAGGGCCATACCCCACAGCCAAATCCTCACGGCTCCCCTGTCACTCAGCACAGAGCCTGAGAGACGGGCTCACACACAGAGGGGCTGGTTGGCAGGTAACTTTCCTGGCTGCCTTGTGGCTCCAGCCATTCCCCCGCCCCCTGCTCCTCTGCTTTCCCAGACCCTGGGGTGCCAGTCTGAAGTGAAAGGCCTCAGCACCCCTTCCTTGCTCCTTTTATAGGCACAACAGACAGCTGTGAGAGAGCCCTGGTTCCTTTGGCTCTGTGGCTGTAGCCAGGAAGCCACTGTTGGACTGGGGACAGGTGGGCAGTGGCCAGAGGTGGCTTCAAGGGCAAGGAAAGAGCAAAAGTCCAGGCCAGCATGGATGGGAGCAGCTCTGGTTACATCTAGCAGGTGGATACAGGGTAGGACTCTCTCCCAGGGCCATGAGCCACTGTGGAGAGGGGCACTGCCCTATTGGTCTTGGTTTTAGAGAGGGGCACTGGCAGCAGGCTCTGCCAGGTTAGGACCACTGGACTCCTGGGAGGGAAGGGACCAACCAGCCCTCCTATCCTGGGGTCTGCAGGTGGGAGCTAAGGGTGAGGTGTACAAGCTCAGAGGGGGCTTGCCCGGGGCCTCCAGGGCCTAGGCTTAGTCCTGGAGAAGGAGGCCGAGGACAATAGTTTCTAGGCAATGGGCTGGTGGAAGGGGGGTCTTGGGTGGTGTGTATGGTGCACGGTGAGGGGAGCCAAGCGAGTGAGCCCCACATCTAGGTGGAGAGTCAGCAGGGGACCAGAGCTTCTAGACATTACAGGCGAGGGTGGCAAGAGTGGAGGCTGCCAACACAGCGGCCAAGGAGGTGGTGTGTGGGGCACTGGCGGCCAGGGGCTCTGTGTGCTGCTGCAGCCACCTGAACTCCTCCAGCATCTGGCGCCTCTGAAGCTCTGGGCCCACCTTCTCACGGATGGCCTTGTAGTAGTTGTTCAGGTACTGGAGCTGCAAAGGGTAAAAGGGGTGAGGGCCGCCCCAGGCCGAGCTGCCAAGAGGTGAGTCCTTGGTGCCATCCAATCCCCTGCTGTAGTATTCTAGCTGCCTACCTTGACCCAGGTACCCACAGGTCCCCAGCCACCATCAGCCACAGGCATTCTCCAGGGCTTTCCAGAGGAAGTGTCCCACCATGGCTGTTTAATGTCATAGTGACTTTCTTGGGTGGGGGGTGGATTTCAGGCCCAGGAATGAGAGTAAATAGAACAGCATTCTTTTCCCCATTTTACAGAAGAGGGGACTGAAGCTCAGAGAGACAAAGGGGTGGCCTACAGGTCTGGAACTTGTAGTAGTACAGCCCAGAGACCTAGGCTCAGACTCTGCTGGAGAGTTCTAGAAGCTCTGGAGTCTCTGGTGAGCTGGGAGGAATGTCCTGTGTATACTACAAGTGCCTTCTGGAGGAGGGGAAGGGATGGAGGGTCTTGGGGTAGGAGAGGGGAAGACGTAGGGAAGGCCCAGGATGGGGGAAGAAGGTAGTGCTGAAGGGCACTCACCTGCTCAGGGGACAACAGGCTGACATCAATGAGGTTCCGGTCATAGGGTACCAAGGACACCACTTCAAAGGTCAGGTAGGTTCCTGGGTACTGAGAACCCACGGGAAGGTGGGAAAACAGGAAAGTGAGGGAGAAGGAGGAGCTAGGCTGAGGTGGGGCAGGGAGGGAGATGCTCCTTGCCAGCCTTGGAGACTCAGGGTGGGCCCAAGCTTTCCGGAGCCCCCTTGGCCAGCACCTTGTTCTACCGCTTAGCAACCCCCCCCCCCCCTGTTGGTGCTTCCCTCCTGATGCCTGAAATTTAGACTTAGGTCAGCAACTGGGGAGAATGTGAACTGTGCAGATTCCAGGGCCCATGCCCCAGACCTCCTGCAATCTCCAGGCAAAGGCTGAGAACCTACATTTAAATAATTTTAAAACAAATTTTGGTGCCAATTTTATATTTATCTTTATCTATCTGCTAGCTAGCTAGCTAGTTGGAGTCCCTAGGTGGTGCAGTTAACTCACTCAGCTGGTAACTAAAAGTTGGAGGTTCCAGTTCACCCAGAGGGGCCTTGAAAGAAATGACTGGCAATCGACTTCTGACAAAACAGCCATTGAAACCCCTGTGGAGTGCAGCTCAACTCTGACACACGTGGGGCCACCAGGACTTAGAACTCACCTGACAGCAACTGTTGGCTTGTTGTAGTTGTTGTTTTAATCTATCCAATCTATTTATGTTTAAATAAGAAAAACAGCCCCTAATTCTCATCTCCCAGAGAACCCTTACATGCACGTGCTTAGAAAACTCAAAAGGTACAGGAAGATGCACAATGAAAATGCAAAGTCTCCTCCCTGCCTGAGTTTTCTTCCTGAAAAACATTTTAGGCATACACAGCACATATATCTACATATTTAAAAAATTCATACAAAATAGATCATACTATATACATTTCTCTGCACCTTCCTCCCACCCCCACTTCAATAATAAACTTAAGAGAGTGGTCCATATTAGCACAAGTGGCTCTCTCTCATCCATTTTAAGGACTGCGAAAGATTCCAGCGTATATGGATGTACCATCATTTATACAAGTTACAGAGGCTTAGGCTGTTTTCTGTTATTTATTTATTTTTTAATTTTTACTATGACCATCAGTGCTATACTCAACATTGTACAAGCAACTTGGTGGACTTTTGGGACTACATCCATTAGGTACCTATCTGGCAAGGGGATTATGGAAACAAAATGTGCAGGCAATCTTTTCAAGGTATTTTGACAGATACTGTCAAACTGTCCTCTAGAAAGTTTGCACCAATTTATTTATATTTCCCCCAGGAGCGAGTGAAAGTGCCCATTTCCCTACACACTCACCAGTACTGGGTATCATCTAAGTCTCTAATTTTTGCCCATTGGATAGGTAAGCTATGGTATTCTCCTGTTGTTTCTATTTGTAACTTTTGATTCAAGAATGAAGTTAAGATCTTTTCATGTTTATGGGCCATTTCTATTGATTTTTCAGTGAATTACCTTTTCATGTCTTTTGTCCATTTTTCTGTTTTGCCTATTTTTATCTTATTGATTTACAAAAGCTCATGGTAAAGTAAGGAAGCTAACCCTTTCTCTGTCATAGGTACTACATTCAGCAGGCATGTTTTGACTCTGTTTATGGTATTTTTTTCCATACAAAACTTTCCTATTCAGAGTTCTCACTCTTCCCCATCACAGCTTCTGAGTCTGGCATAGTAAGCCTTTTTTCCACCCTGAGATAATAAATGAAATCCATATAGGTTTTCTTCTAGATCTTTTATGGTTTCACTGTTTACCTTTAAATCTTTGATCCATCAGGAAGTTTATTTTGGTGTGAAAGTAAAGTTATTCTGCTAAATCCCCCTCCATGATTAGCCAGTTGTCTCTCCCCACCTATTTATGGAACGACCCTTCTCTTCTCTACTGCTTTGAGATGTCACTGTATTATAAACTACATTTCTATTCAGTTTATGGAAACTAGAGGGTCTATTTCAGGACTAACTCTTCTGTTCCATTGTTATCTCTATTTCATCTCCAGGGCCATACTGTTTTAGTTATAGGAGCTTCATAGTGTGTATTAATATCTAATAGGGCTACTTTCCCCTTTTTACTTCTCTTTTTCAGAATTTTCCTAGCTACCTACCTATCATAGCATGCTTATTTTTACAAATAAACGTTGGTATCATTTTGTAGAGTAACAAGCATACTCAGTTAGCATTGAAATTGAAGTTGCCTTGAATTTACAGATTAATTTAAGAAGAAATGACACCTTCACCGTATTGAAGCTTCTTTCCAAAGAGCACCATTTACTTAAATCTTTTTTTATGTCCCTCAGCAGAGATTTTCTCCATGTAAGTCCTCTTAAGTTTATATCTAGGTATTCCATCCTGGTTGCTATTATACCGAATCTTTATTTCTAACAAGCTCCCCTGGTGATTATTATGTGGTGCTGATTCACTTGGCATGGGGTGGAGAGGGCCAGAAGCTCTCCAGATGATTCTCATATGTAAATAGGTTTGGGAAACTGATCTAGGGAATTCCTGCAGAGCTAAGGAAGACTTCCAGTAAATCCATGCCTACACATGAAATGACCTTCTCCTTTGACTTTCCCCACACCCACACAGCCCCAAAATCACTGCCATGCTATTCATATCGGCAGCCCATCTCTGTGGCACTTTACCTTGGTCTTTGCTTCTACCACGAGGGCCACATCTTCAAGACGGATCCCAAATTCTCCATCCTGATAGTAACCAGGTTCTGGGAGACACAGAGATGCTGGTGGCTTTAAGCAGGGGGAAAGCCCAACCCCCAGCTTCCTGTACCAATCATGAGTGGCTAGAGGGCCTGGCTGCCTGGCTCCCCCTGGCTGTTGACTCTGGCAGACTTGCCACTTGGTTGATGTTCATTGGCTCAACAGAGTCATCCTGTTGAGTCTCAGATCTCCCACAGGCACACTCTTGACTCACCCTCCCTCCCTTATAGCCCAGCAGAGAAGACTTAAGAACCCATCTAGAGTCCTAGAGACACTCCCATCTCTGTGTGTGCTATCTTCCTATTATTCCAGCATTTGATTGGAGACTTCGGAAACTGGATGTATATGCAGGAACCAACTCCCAACAGCAAAAAGGGTATAGGCTGACAGGGCTTGAGGTTAGGGTGGGAGGAACCATTTGGGGCTGGGAAGAACAGTGAGAGTGGGGCAGTGGTGGGCCCAGGGCTCTCCGAAAGCTGGTACAACCTAGACTGCAGTCCTGGGCTAGCCCTGCTCTGGGTGGGGAGGGGCTGGAGAAGCCACAGAGCCACATACCAATGGAAGTGAACATGCCCTTGGCCATGGCAATGTTGTTGGACTGGAATCCGACCGGCCCTGGAAAGGGAGATTGAGGCATGGTGGCAGCTCTCCTGTACTCACCAGCTTGGAAGCCAACAGGCCCCGGGGAAGAGCAGGTAACTGGGGATCCTCCGACATCACTAGCAGCATTTCTCTGTCACATCATTGTCTACATGGGGCTGGTACAGGCTAGAGTGGCTCTGGTTCTTATTTCTCTGGGGTCTATGTCAGTCAACCACCAGATCTTAGCCTGACACGCCTTTCTCCGGTGGCCTCTTGGATGCTGAGCAGGCACCAGGACTTGCCAGCTACCAGCATTCTTCACTTACCCTGTGGAGTATAATCTTCCACCTTGGGTGAGTCACTGCACTTCTGTGGTTCTTGATCACTTCCATACCTGTGAAATGCTCTACCTCCTTCACAGAAGGGTATCACATGGGGGGACCCCAGGGGGTGATGAGGAGACACTTACACTCATGCACACACAGGAAGTTGCCAATACCATGACCTGTTCCGTGGCCATAATTGAGCCCAACATCCCACAATGCTCTGCGGGCAAAGACCTCCATCACTTGCCCTGGAAGAAAGATAGCACCAAGTCAGTCAGCTGAGCCCCTAACTGTCCATCTTGCACCTGGAGGGTTGTGCTGTCAGTGCTGCCCTTTCCTGCTCTCTGGTCTCAGCCCTCCCCCGGGTGGTGCCTAGGGAGAGAGGCAAGTAAGCATGCAATGGCACTATGGCATTTGGTTGGGGTAGTGAGGGGCTGATGGATGACATCAATGGCACCTAGACTGGCTCCACTACCTGTGCTCCCTGACCAGACCAGCCCCCTCACTATTTCTAGCACATTCCACCTTGTACCCATTACCAGGACTGCTGACTCTATTACATTTTCTCCCGATCCATCAGGACTCAGCACTTCAGCACCTACTTCCTCCAGGCATCCTCCCATGACTATGTCAGTCCACACTGACCCCCTCACCTCTAAGCTACCTCATTCTATTAGGAAGCAGGGGACTTGGGTTCAAGGCCTGGCTTTCCTGCTAACCCTCTGTGTGACCTTGAGCAGTCACTTTCTCTCTGGGTTGGATTGCCTCATCTACATAATGGGTGAGATGATGATATAATCCCTGCCCCCACTCGTCCCCCTCCAAGGTCCAGTGAAATCACGGCCTGAGGCTCTGGGTCCAACCTGCTCTCTAAAACCCACCTGAGGTATCAGAAGGAAAGATGAGTCTGGACAGATCAATGTTTCCCATCAGCACTCGGGTATACGCTTCCTGATGGGGATAGAAAGAGGTAACGTGGAAGACAAGAGGAGGAGGAATGACGTGACCTGTATGTGTGCCCATGTATGGGCCCAGACTTGTGTGTGTGCATGTGTATTGGGAGAAGGCATGCTCACATGTGGTCACCCAGGTTCTGGAAGATGGCCAAAGGCAGCTGAGGGGACCCTCCTAACGCTAGGGCTTGGCCCATGTGGCACTGTGGATGGTCCACAGGGGTTATTATAATACACTGAGGTTGTTGTTGTTGTTATGTGCCGTGGAGTCGGACCTGACTCATAGCGACCCCTCCTTGGGTTTCCGAGGTGGTATCACTATGGAAGTATATTGCCCAACCTTCCTTCTGAGGAGTGGCTGGTGGGTTTGAACCACCAGACTTCTGGTTAGCAGTCAAGTGCCTTAGGCACTACGCTACCAGAGCTTCTAATGCACTGAGGAGACACATGTAGATGGTAGTGACAGTAGGGGCTTGGAGTCAGATTCTGTGGGCTGGAATCCTGACTTAGCCAGTCACCAACTCTGAGACTTAGGGCAAGTGACTTTAACCTATGCCTCAGTTTCCTCATTTGAAATGGGATGATAGCAGTACCTAGCTCATATAATTGTTGGGAGGATTTGATAGACTGATGCATGTTCTGTGCTTCCAACAGAGGAGGTACTCAAAGAAACCTTAGCACCCTTCCCACTTTCCTTATCCTTTATTTTTCTTAATGCCTTTTGTTTGGGTTGGGGCCTGGAAATGCGGTGAGCCAGCCCTCCTCTGTCAGGGCTGTCATCTGTGGAATGGCTGACAGTGACCTCTTCCTCCTGGTCACTCCCTGTGGCTGTGTGGTGAAGGGACAGAGCACAGGCTTGTCATCTCAGTGGGACAGCCTGGGGCTGTAAATTCAATCTGCTGAGCTGTGAGCTCCTTGAGTCCTGACCAACATTGTTTTTCTCAGTTTCCAGAACAATGTTTGACTCGCAATCTCTGCTTGCTGGAAGCATAAACGCAGCCCCTGGTCCCCTCGCAAAGGTTTTAATCTTTACAGAAACAGATTGGCAGGGTTTGCTTCTGCCATCACTGCTAGATGGGCTCAAATTGCCAAGCTTTCAGTTAGGAATCGAGCACAAATTGCTTGTCCCACCCAGGGACCCACCTACCTCACCCCCAAAGGCTCCCTATTGCATCCAGATTGCAATCAGCTCTCTGTTCCCTGCAAACCTCCAGCCCCTTTCCTCCTGCATGTTCTCCACCTGAGATGTCCTTCTTCCTCCTTCCTGCTGAGCTGTTGTCTTCTCTTTTTGCCCCCTCAGCACCTAGCAGAGGACTAGGCACACAGACAGCACTAAACAAAGGTGTGTTCATGGATTTATTGAAATGGGATGAGGACAACCTGGTCTGTGGTACTGTTGGTCATCTGAAGTGTTACAGAGTAAGTGCAGGGAATGTTTCCTGGCACTAGGACATTGGGCAGGAGTCCCTGGTTGGCACAAATGGTAAAGCACTGGCCTATTAACCCACCTAGAGATGCCTCGGAAGTAAGGCCTGGCAATCTACTTCTGAAAACTCACAGCTTTGAAAACCCTAAAAAGCTGTTCTACTCTGCACACATGGGGTCACCATGAGTTGGAAGTGACTTGACAGCAACTAACTAACAACGACAACAACAGGGATCTTGGGCAAATAATTTACCATCTCTGGGCCCCAGTTTTAGCCTCTGTAAAATGAAAGGGCTTTGGGCAGAGTGATTGCTTGAGTCTCCCCTGGGGTGAGTGTAGGTAGAGAAAGTTGTGGGTGCAATGCCTACCTTTTGGAAAGCGGAGGGGGTGCCCCAGTGGACTGTTCTGGTGATATCCGTAGTTCCGTCCCTGTGGAGAAGGAAAGCCACCATGTCCAGCTGTGAAGAACACTCGGAGGAGGGATGCCAGCCATGTGCTTTCTATTGGGGTTCGAGCGGCAGGGCCAGGACCAGGATGGGGTGGGAGGCAGAAGGAATCTCACTTGCTATCGAGTAAAAGGCCACCATGTTGTTTGACTGTCCTGGTCCCCTCCATACATGTTGCTGTTGTTGGTGGTGTTAGGTGCTATTGAGTTGATTCCAACTCATAGCAACCTTATGTACAACAGAATGAAACACTGCCTGGTCCTGTACCACCCTCACAATCCTGGCTATACCCTAGCCCATCATCGCAGCTACTGTGTCAATGCATTTTCTCAAGGGTTTTCCCCCTTTTTTTTGTTGACCCTCCACTTTACCAAGCATGATGGCCTTCTCTAGGGAGTGGTCCTTTCTGACAACATGACCAAAGTAGGTGATACGAAGTCTGGCCATTCTCACTTCCAAGGAGCATCCTGGCTGCCCTTCTTCCAGGAAAGATTAGTTTGTTTTACTGGCAGCCCATGGTATTTTCAGTATTCTTCGCCAACACCATAATTCAAAGGCATCAACTCTTCTTTGGTCTTCCTTTCATCATCCAGCTTTCGCATGCATAAGAGGCTATTGAAAACACCATGGCTTGGGTTAGGCACACCTTAGTCTTAAAAGAGACATCTTTGCTCTTCAGCACTTGAAAGAGGTCTTTTGCAGCAGATTTGCTCAGTGCAACACATCATCTGGAAAATTTGGCCTTGGTGACAGAAATAACACTGGAGATCACGTGATAGAATTTTGCAAGACCGACTTATTCATTGAAAATACCTTTCTTCAACAACACAAACGGTGGCTACATACATGGATTTTGCCAGATGGAGTACACAGGAATAAGATTGACTACATCTATGGCAAGAGGCAATGGAAAAGCTCAATATCTTCAGCCAAACAAGGCCAGGAGCTGATTGTGAAACAGACCATCAACTGCTCATATGCAAGTTCAACTTGAAGTCAAAGACAGTTAAAACAAGTCCACAAGAGCCAAAATATGACCTTGAAAATATCCCTCCTGAATTTAGAGACCATCTGAAGAATAGATTTGATGCATTGAACACCAATGACCAAAAACCAGAAGAATTGTGGGATGACATCAAGAACATCATTCATGAAGAAAGCAAGAGGTCATTAAAAAGACTGGAAAAGAAGAAAAGACCAAAATAGATGTCAGAAGAGACTGAAACTTGCCCTTGAATGGAGAGTAGCTAAAGCAAATGGAAGAAATGACAAGATAAAAGAGCTGAACAAAGAGCACCTCCAGCAGACAAAGCCAATTACTATAATGAAATATGCAAAGATCTGGAGTTAGAAAACCAAAAGGGAAGAACGCGCTCAGCACTGCTCAAGCTGAAAGAACTGAGGAAAAACTTAAGCCTCGAGTTGCAATATTGAAATATTCTACGGGCAAAATATTGAATGATCCAGGAAGCATCAAAAGAAGATGGATGGAATACACAGAGTCACTGTACCAAAAAGAACTGGTTGATGTTCATCCATTTCAGGAGGTGGCATATGTTCAAGAACCAATGGTATTGAAGGAAGAGGTCTAAGCTGCACTGAAGGAATTGGCTAAGAACAAGGCTCCAGGAATTGACAGAATACCCATTGAGATGTTTCAACAAATGGATGCTGCACTGGAGGCACTCACTCAGCTATGCCAAGAGATTTGGAAAACAGCTACCTGGCCAACTGACTGGAAGAGATCCGTATTTGTACCCATTCCAAAGAAAGGTGATCCCACAGAATGTGGAAATTATCAAACAATATCATTAATATAGCATGCAAGTAATTTTT